AATTTAAACTATATCATCAAGCATTTTACTCTTAAACTTTTTCTAAGGATTTTCAAACATCCATATTTAAATTTATCATGCTTCCCAACTTTCATCATTATCAAAAATCAATTTAATCTCAAAGAAAAAAAAAATCTAAACCCGTCTTCCTCTTACAGCAACCAAAGCAATTAAAGTGGGGTTACCTGCCTAAGGGCGTTTCCTAAACAACGATTTCAGCTTTCCTGAACCCCACCCTTTCACCCACTCACGCACAGCAACTGATACAAAGAGGGGAATCAGATATTTTTCAGCGACCCGTAATATCTTAATACACACAAAGCAAGAGGAAAAGAGAAAGAAGGAGATAAACTTGAACATAAACGCACCTACACAGCAGATAAGGAACGAAAACGTAGAGTCGATACTCCCAGACCCCCACCGTAACAGCAGCGATGCACATCAATACAACAGTGGAAGAACGAAGGAGGGAAACTAACGGCTACAACACCTACAACAGTGGTGACAGCGGCCGACTGCACACCCACCGGCAATAGGAAGAGGAAGAACGAAGGAAGTGATGGATGTTTCTCCAAGTGCTCCCTCTCTAGTCTCTAGCTCTCGTCTCTCGGTTTGTGGCAGTAAGAACTTTGTAATTTTAATCCCAACGAACCAGAAAGGTGAGATATCCCTTTAGCGCCTGCTATCTGGCGTACTTTACTAAAAATAATGGGTTTTGGAATATTATTGTTTTTAAATTTCAATCCATCAATACTAATATCAATATTAGAGCCAGTAATTTAAATCAATCCAAACAGACCAATCCAAAACTACCTAAAAAATTTAGAATTAAACCTAAAAAATAATAAAAAAATATTTTTTTAAAATTATATAAAATATAATAAATATTAATTAATTTTTTAAATTTTATGTCATTCTATACTAAAATAATACTCTCTTCGTTTAAAAAGGTAACACATTTTTATCGAATTTCATCCCCTACTAAAATAGTTATCTACTTTTTAACTAATCCTATCTTTTCATACTTATTCCTATGAAACACCCTATAATAAATATAAAGTCATTATCAATAGGGATATTTTTGAAAAAAAAAGGCAATGATTACACATCAAAAGATTAAAAATGTCTTATATTTTTAACATCTAACTCCTGAAAAATGCATTATATTTTGAATAGAGGGAGTATTTATTTAAGTGCATTACAATAATTATTTTTAAAAAATTAAAAATATTTATGTTTTCATATTTTTATTATTTTTAATCAACAAAATATCTAAAAATAATATTTAAAATATTTTTTATATTTATTTTTATTTTAAGTCTCAATTTTAAAAAATAAAGTTTTGAGTCCTACACATCATTTGCCTATCAAAAAAATATATTTTATATTTTTTATGAAATAAGATAATTAATTTTAAAGTAAAAATAAAATTTAAAATAATCTTTAAAATAAAATTTGGGTGTGTACAAATTCCTAACTCTACTACTAGATAAACATAATAAATAGAACAATATCTTTGGATAATTATTTAGTTATCATCTATGCCAAACTTAATTAAAAATTAAGAATAAACTAATGCTATGTTTGAACACACATGGATTTGAATTTGGATTTGAGATAAATCCATTACTTGGATAATTAAAAATGTATGAAATCCAAGTTCTCCCTTAATCTCTTTGTAATTTAAAATTCTTTTTAAACCTCTATTATTTCAAATCCTAACTCAAACTCTTTTGTAATTTGACCCAAATACATAGAGGCTTGATTGACCTGCCAATGATAATTGCACCGAACCACCAAAGTTAATGGAAACAAGCTACCACTATTGATTGAAATGGGACGGCTGACTTCCACTGAGATCAAATTGACGATGATGATGGGGACTGAACAGGCGACTTCCACTAGGACCAGACCGACGATAAAGATGGGGACCAGACGGGCAACTTTCACTGGGATCGGACTGACAGTGACGATCAGGACCACACAGTCATCTTCCATCAAAATTGGATTGATGGTGATGACAAGTACCTAATGGCCAACTTCTATCGGGACTGAATTGACAACAACAACCGAGACTGCACGGCTGACTTCTACCGGGATTGGACTAACTGCGACAACAGGCACCTGATGGCCAACTTTCATTGAGACTAGACCAATGACAATGATCAAGATTGCATGGTACTGGTGGAAGTCGATAGTTAAGTCCCCGTCGTCGTCATCGGTTTGGTCCCAATGAAAGGTCGTCCGATGCCTGTGGTAACATTTGGTTCAGTTTGGTGCTGGTGGAAGTTGGCAGTCAAGTCCTTGTAATCGCCATCGATCCAGTTCTGGTGGAAGAAGGTTGTTCAATGCTTGTAGTAGCCATCCGTCCGATCCCAATGAAAGTTGGCCATCGGTTCGACCCTGTTGGATGTCAGCCGTTTAGTGCCTGTAGTTACCGTTAGTTTGGTCATGGTGGAAGTCTGCCATCCGGTGCTTGTCATTGTCGGTCTGGTCCAGGTGGAAATTGCCCTTCGGGTCCCCGTCGTTGTCATCAATCCGATCTCGATATAAGTCAGACCTTTGGTGCCTATAGCAGCTGTCGGTTCGGTCCCAGTAGAAGTCTAGTGTCTAGTGCTCATCATTGTCGTCGGTCCGATCTGAATGGAAGTTAGTCATTCAGTCCCCGTTGGTTTGGTCCTAGTAGAAGTCGGAGGTCCAATCCCGGTCGTCACCAGTGCTACAGTCTTAGTCAGCTTTATTTGTCTGATCTCGTTAGAAATTAGCCATTCAAATCATCAAGTTTAATAAATCTTCCAAGTTTCTTTTGAATTCAAATATAGAATTTAAAATTTTACTTTAGATCCAAATAAAGAATTTTAATATTGTAATTTAAAATATTTTATATTATTCAAAAAAAATTAGAATCTATGAATTTCAAATGTAAAATTTTAAATTCAAATTCCTAACTTAAATCCACCCATCTAAACACAACCTAAAATAAATACCCTTTATATGTAGGGGTTAAACAATATAAAAAGTTAAAAGAAAAAATAATTTCAAAAAAATAATATTTTACTCATAATTAAATGATTTTATTTTGCATAATATAATGATGGTTATTTTTCTCATATTTTTAAAAAGGAAAAGTAAATTTTACCTAGAAGTTATTAAAAACTTTGAACTAATTAGGGAGATTATTTTAAGTTAATGGTCTAACTGTGATTGGATTGAGATTAATTTGCTGATAATTAAAATAATATAATTTAATTAAAATATATAAAATATTTATACATGAACATGATAAGAGCAATATTTAAACCAATAAGACATTAATTTACATGTAAAGGAAATATTTATGAATAAATTACACATAATACAACAAAACAATAACAAAGCTATTTAACTATAAAGTTGATAATTTATTATTTATTATTTTATTCTTTTAAAGTTAAAATAATATTTTATACTTAACATAATTTTTTAAAAATTAAAATTGATTCAAAAATAAAGACAAAAATATTTTAAAAAGTTTTGAGTATTTGGAGCATCCCAAATAAGCCTAAAGCTCAAAGATATTAGGGTCAAATTTAACTATATGAGATTTTAAAAAAAAATTAGATATTTTAAGCTCGCTCTAAATAAGCTTTGCCTAAATTGAGCCCAACTCAACTAAGTCTGGCTCACCCGAATTACTAGCTCTAATCAATATATTACTAAAACATGTTCCACTAAAATTTATAAAAATCATTTATAAATTTATAAAATGATAGTTTGAGTTGTTAATATTTAAAAAGTAATTTATAAATTTTGAATGAACATTTATAAATAATAATATTTAAATTATTAAATATGAAAATATTTAATTTTTTTGGCAATACTTATTAAATTTTATTTTAATAAGATTTTAAAGTACCTGATACTTTTAGAAAAAGACTTTATAATGCCCAGTGCTCTTGCAAAAAGAGTTTAAGAGCAAATTGTAACATCCTAATTTTTTTTTATATAATAAAGAAATTGTGGAATTTAGGTTTTGAGAAAAAAAAATGATAATAGTAGGAATTTATATTATTTGAGGTTATTTAGAAATAATATTATAGTTAGGTATTTAATTATGAATTTAAAAATTTAAATTTAAAACCACATAAGCAATATTTAGTTAAGATATAATACATAAATAATTTTTTTTATGTATGTGTTAAAAAAAAAGAGAAGGTAGAAGGAACAAAAAAAAAAGGGGTGAAAGGTTGTTGTTTCTAAGTCCCACATTGGTTAGATGAGGGAAGAGAAGAGGTGCCTTCATATATAAAAAGGAGGGGGTGTGTGCATTAGGAAGCATGAGAGGCTAAGATGCAATTTAGAGAAAATTGCAACTTTTGGCCAAAAGGTTTGAATAATTAAATTCAAACCCATAGTTTTTTTTTAATATAATTTTGGGACTCACAATCCCATTTTTATATTATTTTTCTCTCTTCCTCTCACATTGCTCGGCGTTTTCTCGCAAGGGGGGATTATTTTCTTTTTCTTCAGGTATGTTCTAACTTTCCTGTTTAGATTAGCATTTAAAAATTTATTTAATTACAAAATTAATTTTGTAGTTATTTTCTAAATAATATTAGCTTTCTAGTGATATGATTATTTTGTAGGATAGAGTAAATATTTTGATTAGAATTTTTCTATAGGATAGTTAATCTGATGATATGATGGATTAAAAATATAGGTTAAAATTCTTAGGGATATAAAAAATATTATAGAATATTTTCTTAAGGTTGAAACTCATGTTTAAGAATTTTTGAGTTAAAATCTAGATCTATATGGTTGAATTTATGTGGAATCTGAGACGTAGGGATAAAGCTATGATTATTAAATATTTATTTAAGTATGAATAGGTATTTTTGAGGTTATAGAAAGGTGATTTGAGGCTTCAGGATAATTTTAAAATTTTTAATTTATTTTTGGATGAATTTTTAGAATATAGAAGGATGAAATTGTGATACTAGAAGTGAATTGAGGATAAAAAAAATAGTTCATTAGGGTACGAGAATTTTAGAAAAGAATTTGGGAAGTTAAATGAGGCATAAATCTTAAATTAGTGTTAATATGGACTATAGATCTAAGACTTTCTAACTCTTTAAATTAGAGTTATTTATTTTAATGTAAAATTAATATATAGTATTGTGAAATAATTATGTAGATTATATTGACAAAGATAGTGGTGAAAAAGGAGTTGTGAAGGGGAACTTGTTATTCAAGACACAAGGTAACCATTATTAATGTGTTGTGATGGGTGTGTTTGTGAATGGTTATGTGTTGTTTTGTTGTTTGGAAAAATTATGAATTATTGAAAATAAATACTGTTATATACTTCCGTGAAATCATTGCCAAGTGGGTTAAAAATTTATTTTTATTTATCATGATGAGATATTATTGTTCGGATATATTTCTGTTTGGATATTTGAATGATGCATGACTTGTCAGGGTATTTTAATGTATGGTGTTAATGGGAATTTCTGTTCGGTTAATTATTACCACGTGGTAAGCCCTCATTGGACCCAATGAGTGGCGTGTCGCTTGGTCCAACTCACCTTTGGCCGGGTGATTTGGCGTCCGAGCATGGCGAAAGGAGGATATAAGGTGCAGTCATGCAAATTAAATACTTGTTCGGTTTGTTTGAAAGTATTGTTCGGTTAAATGTTTTGTGTGCCCACTTAGCAATCGCATGATTAGTTACATCCGCATGCATCATTACATATTAATTTTTGGTTACTGGGACTTTTAAGTCTCATTCCCCGTGGTTAATATTTTTACAGGAGCGAGTCCGGCCGAGAAAGCACCAGAGGTGTAACTATGGTGTATGAGACACCATCTTTTACGTTGCCTCTTATTTTGGATTATACAATGTATCTTGTGCCAACTTAGGACATATCTTCTTTGTGAAGCATGTAAACTCTAATCCTTTTTATTAAAAGTATTTATATGACCAAGAGGATTATGTCTGTCCCTCTTGATTCATGACCTGATTTAAATATCATGCCATGAGGATCCTGTCTGTCCCTCATGGTTCTAATTGTTTTTTTTTGAGATATTTTAAGACTTGTGGTATATTGTCTTGGATGTACCATGGTAGAAATTTTTCTACCATGATAAGGGTATGATGAGGGTTCAATGAAAAAAAATGATTTATTGAATTAATGATTTGCGAAAAATCAGTTTGTAAATTTATAGGGTGTTACATATTGGTATCAGAGCATATAGTCAGTTGGCAATATACATTGTTATGGTGCTTCTCATTGTATGGCCATGATATAGCTAGGCTAATTTTATTATTTATATCTTGTATCCTTTAGGAGGGGAGAGAAAATGCCTGTTACTCGTGGTAACTCAGGATTCCAACATGAGCACCTACCACCGCCACTGCCAAATGAGGAGCCTGACTTGGCGAAATTGAGAATGCTTGTAAAAACATTAACAGACAAGGTTAAGGATACGAACAAGAGTTGACGGAGCTAAAGAGGCAAAAGGTAACTGAAAATGGAGATAGGGCTCATGTTGAGAGTCATGTAGGGGAAGGCAGTTCCTCACATCCTGCCACTCTAAGAGATCATGAGTCTAGAAGGGAGGAAATTAGGCAGGAGGAACAGAGAGCCCCACCGACCATTACTGATGTGTGGGAAACTGTTAGGAAGTTTAACCCTCCTACGTTTGATGGTAACCTTAAACCATCCGTGGTAGAGGAATGGGTGAAGAGACTCGAATCCATCTTTCGAGTAGTCACATGCACCAGCAATCAAAAAGTACAAGTAGCATTAGTGCTCCTAGTGAAAGGAGCAAGAGATTGGTGGGAGACAGCAAGACCCAGGGATGATTCTACACTCACCTGGGAGGAATTCAAGGAAAAATTATTCAGGCATTACTTTCCATCAGAGTTAAGGTCTGAGAAGGAAGCGGAATTCCATGCCTTTAAGCAAGGGAACCTCGATGAGGACACATTCATTGCTAAGTTTCAGAAGTTATCTAGATACTCCACGTACCTGCAGTATAGGGATGATTCTGAATGGAAGGCTAAGCGCTTATTGGAGAAGGCTAGACCAGAATTGAGGGAACAATTGGCTCATCTAAATATCCGAGATTATGATGAAATGTGCATAAAACTACAAGTAGTAGCTCGCAGTAAGAAGGAGGTCGAGAGAGAGAAGAGGGGTTATTCATATAGTAGACCCCTAACCTACTCTCGACCCACCGGAGGCATTATGAAGAAAAACCATCAGGGTTCGAGTAGCTCATGGAACCAAGGAAGGCAGAAGGGTCCATTTCAAAGGGGCCAAGGACAGAGGAGCTATCATAGTAGTTATCACGGGTCACAGAGAAGCCCAACAATATCTACCCCTACCCTGAGTACAGCGAGCTCTCAGCAGTGCACTAAATGCGGGCATCATCATTTCGGACAGTGTTGGGTCTGTTACATTTGTGGGAAACTCGGTCACATTGCAAAGTTTTGTGGGGACAACCAGGGCTCAAATATGAAGAACCCTTCCCAACATCCTACTGTCTCTGGCCGTGTGTTTGCTCTTACTCAGGACACCATGAACTCCCCAGATGCCATTAGAGGTAACATCAAAATCCTTCATCATAATATTGTTGCACTATTTGATTCGGGTGCTACACACTCTTTTATTTCTGAAACTTGTGTAAAGAACCTTGATTTGCCTGTGTGTATTTTACCTTTTGATATGAATGTGTCTACTCCCGCGGGAGAATCTGTAAGGACTGCTAAGGCATGCCTTAACCTAGTAGTCGAGTTTAAAAATAGGAAAACAACTATGGACTTAATTATCCTACCATTGAGAGGTATGGATGTAATTGTGGGAATGAATTGGATGGCTGCAAATGGTGCTATCCTAGATTGTAGAGAGAGGAGTGTGTCTTTATCTTCTTTGTCGGTGACCCCAGTCGAGACTCAAGATCATGTTTTCTTGTCGACGGTGCAAGTTGATAGATGTATGAAGAAAGGTTGCCAGGCCTACATGGTTTTCTTCTCTATCCAAGCTGAGATTGATGAAGGCGTGAAGAATATCCCAATTGTCAAAGAATTTGAGGATGTATTTCCAGACGAAGTCTTCGGTTTACCCCCAAAGCGCGAGGTAGAGTTCTCAATTAAATTGGTACCCGGTACAGGGCCAATTTCTAAGGCTCCTTATCGGATGTCCCCTTCAGAGTTAGCGGAACTGAAAAAGCAAATTGAAGAGCTACTTGAGAAGGGTTTCATCAGACCGAGTGTTTCACCTTGGGGATCTCCAGTCCTTTTTGTAAAGAAGAAGGACGGAAGCCTCCGATTGTGCATTGATTATAGACAATTGAACAAAGTAACCATCAAGAACAAATATCCACTTCCGAGAATCGATGATTTGCTGGATCAGCTTGTGGGATCTGCAGTTTTCTCAAAGATTGACTTAAGGTCAGGGTACCACCAATTGAGAGTGAGAGCAGAGGATATACCTAAGACAGCATTTCGGACGAGATATAGGCATTATGAATTCATGGTGATGCCGTTTGGACTTACGAATGCTCCTGCGGTATTCATGGATTACATGAATAGATCTTTCGACCCTATTTAGATAAGTTAGTAGTAGTGTTTATTGATGACATTCTTATTTATTCAAAGGATGAGGAGGCTCATGGTGAACATTTAAGAATCGTCTTGCAAGTTTTGAGGGAACATAAGCTTTATGCCAAATTAAACAAGTGTGAATTTTGGCTCCAAGAAGTAAAGTTTTTGGGCCATGTTGTGTCCAGAGATGGAGTTGCGGTGGATCCTAGCAAGATTGATGCAGTGATGAAGTGGGAACAGCCAAAATCTGTTACAGAGATATGAAGCTTTTTAGGTTTAGCAGGTTATTATCGTCGCTTTATTAAGGGATTTTCGCAAATTGCGATGCCCTTAACTAAGCTGACTAAGAAGGATGCCCCATTTATTTGGACTGACAAATGTGAAGCTGCTTTCCAAGAATTGAAAAAGAGGTTAACCACTACTCCAGTATTGACTATTCCTAACCCTGTGGTGCCGTACACTCTGTACACTGATGCTTCTTTAAAGGGTTTAGGATGTGTTTTGATGCAAAATGACCGAGTGGTTGCCTATTCCTCTAGACAGTTGAGACCACACGAGGAAAATTACCCTACTCATGATTTGGAGTTAGCTGCAGTTGTGTTTGCTCTGAAGATATGGAGACACTACTTGTATGGATCTAAGTTTCAAATCTTCAGTGACCATAAGAGCCTGAAGTATTTATTTGATCAAAAAGAGCTTAATATGAGGCAGCAACGATGGATGGAATTTCTGAAGGATTATGACTTTGAATTACATTACCATCCGGGTAAGGCTAACGTGGTAGCTGACGCCTTAAGTAGAAAGACTATTCATGCTGCACATTTGATGGTTCATGAATATCATTTGTGGAACAGTTTTCATGATGTTCCAGTAGATGTGATTGAACATCAAATGGCCGCACTCCAGGTAGCAGACTTTGAGAGCAAATTCTGGGAAGATCTCAGAGTCTCACAGCAGAGTGATGACTACTTAAGGAATATAAGGAAGGAGATAGTGGTAGGTAAGGCCCCAAATTTTACCATCTCTGAGGACACAGTGATGAAGTATAAAGGTAGAGTTTGTGTACCTAATGATCCAAGATTGAGGAATATCCTTTTAGAAGAAGCTCATAGGAGCAAATATACAATTCATCCCGATATAACTAAAATGTACCATGATTTGAAGCGAGATTGGTGGTGGCCAGGAATGAAGAAAGATGTAACTGAATTTGTTTTTAGATGTTTAACGTGTCAAAGATAAAGATAGAACATCAGAAGCCAGCTGGAACACTGCAACCGTTAGATATTCCAAAGTAGAAATGGGATGATATTTCCATAGATTTCATCACTGGACTGCCAAGAACACCCTCGAGTAAGGATGCTATTTGGGTGATAGTAGACCGACTCACCAAATCAGCTCACTTTTTGGCGATCAAGTTTACCTCTACATTAGAGAAATTTGCTGAGATATACATTAAGGAGATAGTTAGACTTCATGGTATACCCTCTAGAATTGTGTCAGATCGTGACCCAAGTTCACTTCAAACTTTTGGGGTGCGCTACAGAAGGCTATGGGTACCAGACTGAGTTTTAGCACTGCATACCACCCCCAAACAGATGGACAAACAGAGAGGACGATCCAGACTTTGGAGGACATGTTGAGAGCTTGTGCCATTGAACTACCAGGTAGTTGGGATAATCATTTGCCATTAGCTGAATTTGCTTATAATAACAGCTATCATTCTAGTATTGGGATGGCGCCTTATGAGGCCTTGTATGGAAGGAAGTGTAGATCGCCTTTGTGTTAGACAGAATTAAGTGAGAGGAGTATCATTGGTCCAGAAATTGTAGAGCAGACCACCCAGAAGATTGCAATGATTAAGCAAAAATTGCTAACCGCTCAGAGCCGACAGAAGAGCTATGCTGATAAGAGGAGACGGCCGTTAGAGTTTGAAGTAGGAGATCATGTATTTTTGAAGGTTTCTCCAGTGACAGGCATTGGTAGATCCATTAAGGCAAAAAAGTTGACACCTAGATTTATGGGCCCATATGAGATCTTAGAGCGAATTGGATCTGCTGCATATAGAGTTGCATTACCTCCACAGATTGCAGGTATCCATAATGTATTTCACGTATCACAGTTGAAGAAGTACAACCCGGATCCCTCCCATGTTATTGAACCTGAAGAAGTAGAATTGAGGGAGAATTTGACCTTTAGATCCGAACCGGAGCGAATTGAGGACTTTAAGGACAAACAACTGCGCAATAAGACCATCCAACTCGTGAAGGTGATTTGGAAGGGTGGAGCCCTAGGTGATGCTACTTGGGAAACCGAGGAGAGTATGAGGCGAGATTATCCACATTTATTTGCTTAGGTACATAGTTTCTATGCTTATCTATTAAATTTTGAGGACAAAATTTCTAAAAGGAGGGGAGAATTGTAACATCCTGATTTTTTTTTATATAATAAAGAAATTGTGGAATTTAGGTTTTGAGAAAAAAAATGATAATAATAGGAATTTGTATTATTTGAGGTTATTTAGAAATAATATTATGGTTAGGTATTTAATTATGAATTTAAAAATTTAAATTTAAAACCACATAAGCAATATTTAGTTAAGATATAATACATAAATAATTTTTTTTATGTATGTGTTAAAAAAAAAGAGAAGGTAGAAGGAACAAAAAAAAAAGGGGGGTGGAAGGTTGTTGTTTCTAAGTCCCACATTGGTTAGATGAGGGAAGAGAAGAGGTGCCTTCATGTATAAAAAGGAGGGGGTGTGTGCATTAGGAAGCATGAGAGGCTAAGATGCAATTTAGAGAAAATTGCAACTTTTAGCCCAATCCCATTTTTATATTATTTTTCTCTCTTCCTCTCACGTTGCTCGGCGTTTTCTCGCAAGGGGGGATTATTTTCTTTTTCTTCAGGTATGTTCTAACTTTCCTGTTTAGATTAGCATTTAAAAATTTATTTAATTACAAAATTAATTTTGTAGTTATTTTCTAAATAATATTAGCTTTCTAGTGATATGATTATTTTGTAGGATAGAGTAAATATTTTGATTAGAATTTTTCTATAGGATAGTTAATCTAATGATATGATGGATTAAAAATATAGGTTAAAATTCTTAGGGATATAAAAAAATATTATAGAATATTTTCTTAAGGTTGAAACTCATGTTTAAGAATTTTTGAGTTAAAATCTAGATCTATATGGTTGAATTTATGTGGAATCTGAGACGTAGGGATAAAGCTATGATTATTAAATATTTATTTAAGTATGAATAGGTATTTTTGAGGTTATAGAAAGGTAATTTGAGGCTTCAGGATAATTTTAAAATTTTTAATTTATTTTTGGATGAATTTTTAGAATATAGAAGGATGAAATTGTGATACTCGAAGTGAATTGAGGATAAAAAAAATAGTTCATTAGGGTACGAGAATTTTAGAAAAGAATTTGGGAAGTTAAATGAGGCATAAATCTTAAATTAGTGTTAATATGGACTATAGATCTAAGACTTTCTAACTCTTTAAATTAGAGTTATTTATTTTAATGTAAAATTAATATATAGTATTGTGAAATAATTATGTAGATTATATTGACAAAGATAGTGGTGAAAAAGGAGTTGTGAAGGGGAACTTGTTATTCAAGACACAAGGTAACCATTATTAATGTGTTGTGATGGGTGTGTTTGTGAATGGTTATGTGTTGTTTTGTTGTTTGGAAAAATTATGAATTATTGAAAATAAATACTGTTATATACTTCCGTGAAATCATTGCCAAGTGGGTTAAAAATTTATTTTTGTTTATCATGATGAGATATTATTGTTCGGATATATTTCTGTTTGGATATTTGAATGATGCATGACTTGTCAGGGTATTTTAATGTATGGTGTTAATGGGAATTTCTGTTCGGTTAATTATTACCACGTGGTAAGCCCTCATTGGACCCAATGAGTGGCGTGTCGCTTGGTCCAACTCACCTTTGGCCGGGTGATTTGGCGTCCGAGCATGGCGAAAGGAGGATATAAGGTGCAGTCATGCAAATTAAATACTTGTTCGGTTTGTTTGAAAGTATTGTTCGGTTAAATGTTTTGTGTGCCCACTTAGCAATCGCATGATTAGTTACATCCGCATGCATCATTACATATTAATTTTTGGTTACTGGGACTTTTAAGTCTCATTCCCCGTGGTTAACATTTTTACAGGAGCGAGTCCGGCCGAGAAAGCACCAGAGGTGTAACTATGGTGTATGAGACACCATCTTTTACGTTGCCTCTTATTTTGGATTATACAATGTATCTTGTGCCAACTTAGGACATATCTTCTTTGTGAAGCATGTAAACTCTAATCCTTTTTATTAAAAGTATTTATATGACCAAGAGGATTATATCTGTCCCTCTTGATTCATGACCTGATTTAAATATCATGCCATGAGGATCCTGTCTGTCCCTCATGTTCTAATTGTTTTTTTTTGAGATATTTTAAGACTTGTGGTATATTGTCTTGGATGTACCATGGTAGAAATTTTTCTACCATGATAAGGGTATGATGAGGGTTCAATGAAAAAAAATGATTTATTGAATTAATGATTTGTGAAAAATCAGTTTGTAAATTTATAGGGTGTTACACAAATTAGCACCAGAGGACATAATTAAAGTCTTACTTATTATTGTGCATAGACCCCATGCATATGCCATATCAGTAAAAAATGGCAAAGTTAATGGCCTCATAACATAAGGACACTTTTGGATCTAAAAAAAACTTTAAGGAGAAAATTACCCCATTTAAGATTATAAGATACTTAACGTTCCTAAAATATAAGTACATGAGTCAAATTAGACCTTAACCCTTATATATATATATATATATATATTAAATATAACCAACTAATTTTTGAATTAAATACTATTTTTTCTTTTAAATATTTTTTAGAAGCACTTAGAATCTTATATAATTTTTTTTTTAAAAAGCAAAATTGTTCTTCCATCATGAACTTCATCATTTTCTTTATTATTTATTAACGTGGAATAGTTATCAGACCCACATGCAATAACAACAAGACTTTTTGACTCATTTTATCATCGTTTCACTGTTAAAATCAAGTCTATTCATTTCTCTGCTATTATCACTTCTAACCCCTTTGATCTTCATCAAGTAGTCATTATGAGTTAAAATATCTTCCTATTATTATATGTGAGCTCTACAACTATCAAATATTCTACATCAACAATGCTAGGTCTTTGAAGGAAGAACAATTTTGTCCATAAAAAAATTGCTAGAAAGATATTGTCTCACTTTTTAGTATAGAATAACTAACAGTTCTTCAAAAATAGTTTAGAAAAAGAATGATCTTCATCCCTAATTTTTATACTAACTTCAGTTTACAGACTTCAAATTATAACATAGTTTTGCAGGTGCTAATTCACCCCTAATCTATAAGAGACCGGCAATATTAAGAAGAATTAGGGAAAATCATAATAAAGGACCTAGAGTCAACAATATTTATTAGAGAAGATATTAAAAATAGTAATTTTCTAGGAGCACCACCAGAATGTAACTTTAAAAATACTAAATTACCCATAATTAAATCTCATGTATTTTTTCTAGAACCACATCTTGTATTTGAAAGTTACTGACAAAGACACATTATTTGATAGAAAGCTTTTTTTTTAACAAGAAAATGAAAAAAAAAATAAAATAAAGATAAACTGAAGCCAGAATATCCGCAAGTCTGACAGGGCGTTGTTGGCAAATTGTAATAATTCTTCAAACGTAAAGGTTTTTTTTAAATTATATTGATTTAATTTAATTCAATTCCATTTTTCATTTTTTTTATGAAATTGAAAATTGAACAGCCTTATTTTTAAAAGAGTATCCTGGTAACTTGTGCAGTACCCCCATGCTAATTTCAAGGCATTTCTGATAGATTTTATACTATGATTATAATAGTTAATTACACTTACCTTGATCCGTTATCTTAATTGTCATTTTTATGATCAATTATAATTAATTTTAACAGTATTAAATTCCTATGAACAATTGGTCAAAAAAAATTCCTTCGGATAATTTTCCTGAAGAATTAAGCCCTGTTGAAATAACGTTACACGCCTTCGAGGTACTAGACCTGGAACCAAACGCACTAAAAATCGGTCTTCGTTTAGGGTGCTAGTCCAAATTTATACCTTTTTATTTTTATTTTATATTTATTAAAATAAAAATGTATAATTTTTTTAATAAATATATCTATTATCAATTAGACAGTATAAATATAATTTAAATGATTCAATTTAATATTACAAACTTTTATAATTTTTATAAACTTTTATTTTAATAAATATAATATTAAAAATAAAGATAATATTTTAACTGTACTTTTAAAAAATATTTATAAATAACGTAATTTAAAGATTTTGAATCTAGATTATTTAATGCGAATCTAAATAATTAATTTATAAAAATTATAAAAAATTTTATATTAAATTTAAATCATTTAAAATAAATTTAGACTTTCTTGGTAAGTAGATTTATAAATTTTTTGATAATTTTGATATTTTTTTATTTGAATAAATATAAAATATAATATAATTCAAAACTTTAAATTTTAATACGATGGTGCAGATCTCATGGTCATGGGCAATGGGGCCCAAAAAAAAAAAAAACACAAGATCTCTTGAGCAATGAGCAGTAGCGGAGGTGAATCCCTAAAATTGTAAGACCAAATTGCCCAGGCGCCTCCATAGTTGTGTCACATGCAGTTTGACGGGACAGTAAAAGAAAAGACAAGCGGCGACCGATGCATGTGATCGCACAGGTCCCTATAGATGTTTTTTTTTTTTGGTTTTTTTTTTGTTTTGACCTGGTCCCTATAGATATTTGAAACCCCACTAGGGCAATGCGTTTAACGAAAATGAGATATTTATTTATTCATGTTAGGGTACATCAGGCAAAAGGTCCTGTAAAAAAAAAATTTATTATCAAACATTTTAATTTATAAAATATCCTTAAATTTTAAATTCTTTATATTTATAATTAAACAATAAACACTTACAACTTGTATATTATATTTGATAAAAATTAACATAACAAGTGGTAAATACTTATTATTTAATTGTAAATACTCTTTGTCAAATTATAAATGTATAAAATTTAAAACTTAAAAATATTTTATGAATTTCATGAAATTTTTTATAATAATTTTGTTATGTGACATTTAAGTGTAATTTTCTCTTTGTTATCCCTCCATGATTAAAATCGGATCATTTTCACTCATACATAATATATTTGAAGGCTTCATCTCATATCTTATGTCCACTTATTATCTGCCTATACTTACTTTGCAGGAGGGAAAAAAATCTCGAGCACAAACAAGACACCATTCAGATAACACACTTTAGGAGCCAAATGAAGAAGGTACTCTCACTAATCTTCCTCATGTGGATGGTCTTACTGGTTCTCGTAGATCTGAGCAGGGCAACTTCAGGGAATGTCAACAATGGCAGACTCACCACCGCATGCAGCAGCGGCTCCGTCAACTGCCTTGTCGGCGATGACTTGGAAGACGCCGCCACCGCCGAGTTCCAGATGAGCTCCCATGTAGCGAGGATGTTGGCTTACGACGTCGTCACGAAGTCCAAGACTGGACACACAGGGAACAAGAATAAGCCTGCTGTTAATTGTCCTCCAAATACCAAATGCACAGGTACAACCTGCCTTGGGCTACGAAGTGGAAAGAGCACTCAACAAGTTTGCGTTGATACAACCCGAGATTGCAAGTGAGAAAGCAAGTACTCATGAGCCACATACACCTATTGGTGATTAGTGATTTCAAGTTCATTATATGATTTAATTTACTGCTTATGGTTTTGATCTCTAATTCGAAATCTGTGTATCCGTGGGTTTGCAGGTTTCACGCTTTAATTTGTTGATTGTAAGAATAGCCATGAATAATATGATTCTCGCTATAATGTGAGTCTTGTACGAACCGCGCTTTGTTGATTAATATACTGATTCAGTTTTTTTATAACTCATTTTTATTAATTTTATCAATACTAATGTAAAAAAACAATACAAAGAACGAAAGAGTATAAAATTTTAAATATGCTTTTGTATAAAAAATTTAAAAATTAATATTATATTATTTTTTTTCATGAAAGGTAAGTTTAAAAATATCTTTTAAATATTATCTAAAAAATTACACTATAATTTATAAATAAAATTAAATAAATTTTTTAAAATATAATTTATAAATAAAACTGAAAAGAGTAAAATATAATCATGAATTATCAGTGGAAAATGCAAATGGAACTCATCATCTCTGATTCTGTCTTAAGTGATGAGTGCCTTCTTTTGCAGAATACCTATGGTTCATAGGGGCTCATTTGATTGAATGGCTAAGAATTAAATTATGAAAATTCGAGTTACCTCTTCTGTAATAATCATTAATTGATCCCTAACCTTTTTTTCTATTCTGCGCGTGCAACTCTGATGTGACAGCCCTCTGTTATAGTTTTGTTATTAATGGAGCAAATTAGCAATGGATTATAAATCAAAAAACGATTGAAATTTTAAACTTATTTTTTTATATAATATTTTTTAATTTTTAAAAAATTATAATCTGACATTCATTATTAATAAAAATTAACTTTAACAGTTAATTAATAAAAATAATAAAAAAGATATCGAAAATTATAAAAATAATCAAAAATTATAATAAAATATTTAAAAATTATAGAAAAAGATCAAAATCATTTTGTTGGTCCTTCTCTCTATTTTTTTAGGTCCCTTTTTATTATTTTTAATTAACTAATAATTAAATTTAATTTTTATTAATAATATGCTTAAATTGCAATGTTTTGCAAAAATTAAAAGAGAATATTGCAGAAAAAATAAATTTAAATTTTCAGACACTGACTGATAATTTATTAGGAATCAATTTATTCTTTCAATCTATTTTAAATTTTACTATTCTGCTAATTGTCAAGTTTGATTTTCTATGTTCATTTTCAGCGCGGACAAAGACAGTGAATTTGCTGGTATTGGTGACGATAAAGTGGCTGGTATTGGTGGCGATAAAGTGGTGGTTCATGTTGAATTGCAAATTGACAATCATGCTACTTCGTCATGGTATCTTATATTATCTTATTTTATATAATATAAAATAAAATAAAATTCACTATTCTTTTTTTCTTTTGTCCAAAATAAATTTCAACATTTAAGCAACAGTGAAATGAATAGTAATGCGGGACCCACTACCAATTTTTTTAAAAAAATAATGGTTTTTTTAAACCTTTTTGCTACAATACATTTTTGTGATTATTTTTTTCATTTTATTAAAAAAATTAAAACATGTTTAACCAAGACTACTAACATTGGAAAAATAATTTTTATTATATTTT